ATATTCTCAAAACTATTTTCTTCTTAAGACAGGGCTTAAATGTTTTTTGTTTTAGTGACTTGAGGCTTTGTCTGTCCTTACTAACATAAACTGTTCTTCCAGCCATCTACTAGGGGACACTAACCAAGGACTGGGGAATACAGCCCTGGGCTGGCCTCGAACTCACAGTGTAGACCAGAATGGCCTTGAGTTCACAAGGATCCACCTGCTTCTGCCTCCCAGGTGCTGGAATAAAAGGCCTGCATCACCACACCTAGCTAGGTTCTAACATTTTATCATTCTAACTTTATGTGGAAAGCACAGGAGTTTGCCCAGTATTTCAAATGCTTTTTTGAAAAGCTATGTCCTCTGGATCATGCCCTGCAAGCTGCCAACTCAACAGAGCTTAGACAGAACAGAAGCTGGATGGTGGGTGGCCTCTTCGAGATCACCCTGGCTGCTGGAGAGGATTTTGCTAAGTAATCCACCTCTTCTTAGAATCTCTTTCCAATGAGCCCAGAGTAAGAGGGTCTAGAAGTCCCCAGTCCCTGGCAGATGGCTGGAACAAGATAGCTTATGTCAACAAGGACAGACAAAACCTCAAATCACTAAAACAAAGATTTTTAAGCGTCCATCCCCATCCTCAATTCATATAAAGACTCAGATTTCAGTCTTAGTTCCCAATCTTCCTTGTGTCCACGCTTTGAAATTCAGACAAGTTTTTCTCTGTGGCTGACCAGCCGGTCTCCCAGACTTGGAGTGCTCATGTATGAAGCCAGGATGCAGCTCTTCCCAGATCCCCAGGACAGCTGTGCTCTGCGTTATCCCTGGGAATTTCTTCTGCCCAAACATTCCACCATTAACAGCTCACCAGCCACACTCCAAAAAGCAAGTTCCTGGGGGGCTCTGACATCTCCTCTGCTACCCTGCCGAGACTCACTCTGAAGCCTCCGTGATAAGCTCTCCTGTGCCTTCCATCTCAGAGCTGACCCTCCCTCTTGCTGTCAACACTCAGCGCTCAGTCTCAACCAGCAACCAGTGAGCCCCAGCACAGTGCCTGGTGTGTAAGCAAAGGAAGGTGTGTGTGAACAACTGAACTCCTGACTCCTCTGTGATTGTATAATGTTCTGGACAACTTGACTCAATTTCACAGGAGGCTTTGAACAGCACCCATATTAAAAGAAAAGAAAAACTCAGCTCCTTGGTATAGCCATACATTCTTGATGGATTTCCCTTTTTAAGAAGAAAAGTGGGTGCCTTGTCCTCATTATGCCACTGCTTTCTCATGGCCCCCCTCTTTCTGTGCTCTCTGTGTCCCTCTGTCTCTCTCTGTCTGTCTGTCTCTCTCCTTCCCTCCCTCTCCTTTTCTTTCTCTCTCTCCCTCCTCTCTCTTTCTCTCTGTCTCTCTCTCCCTCTCTCTGTCTCTTTCTGTCTCTGTCTCTGTCTCTGTCTCTGTCTGTCTCTCTCTCTCTCTCTCTCTCTCTCTCTCTCGTAGTGTGTTCGCTCCTTGTTCTGTCTCTGCTGCCATCTCTTTCACATATCCTCTCTCATCTGCTTCTCTCTCCCCCATCTGTCTGTCTCTCCTGCATCTTCACCATTCCCTGGCAGTCCCTAGTCTGCCCGGTCTCCATGTGCGCCTGGCATCTTGCAGATGGGATTACATTTTCCTTCCCAACCATCTGGTGCTGTCTCCTCTGTACTTGGGGGAAGCAGCAGTATTCCATGGTCAAGACTGTGGGCTTTGGAGTTAGATTCATGCCTGGCTCATCCTCGTAGAAGTCACATGACTAAGGTCAGGAGATACCACTGATCTCTGTATCTCAGATCTCTTAACACCAAAGTCAGGCACAAAAGCCCTTCTCAGAGGAAGGTTGCAAGTATTAAACGCGATAATGCCTGGAAAATTCTTTTTTTTGATATTTCAAAATATTTTTTGTGGTTTATTATCAGTTTACCCTTCTCTATACAGTTGGGTACCAACCAATCACATTTTAGATATCATAACATAATTTGGATACATACCAAATAAAATCTAGGCAGAATAGAGTGATCACTGATATATTAGAAAAAGATGAACTTAGGTGTTGAAGTGGACTTTTGCCTGGAAAATTCTTAACACACTTGTAAAACTATATAAACACGAGCTCCTTGCTAATAAGTCTCTCTCTCTCTCTCTCTCTCTCTCTCTCTCTCTCTCTCTCTCTATCTCTCTCTGGACTGCTTTTGCACCACCTGTAAAATCATTGACCTCAGGTTCGCGTTCTTCGAAGGACATCTAAACTAATATTTTCCCCACAAAGATCACTCCAGTCTTTTCCCCTTCAAACAGACAGCAATGCAGAGCCCAGTTTTCATGGCCTCAACTGTCTTGCCTGTGTGCCTGCCTTAATTCAGGTAGACTTTATCTGGATGAGGTATCCCTGACCTGACCTTCCCGCAGAAAGCACCTGGGCTGTTTTCAGTGCCTGCAAACACCTTGCAGATGATTCTGACTCAGTAGGTCAGGAATAACATCCAGGAACAGGCATTGATCAGATCAGTGCTTCCGATTGGAGAACAGAGCTTCAGATGTCTGACTTAAATAGGTGGCAGTGAATGAATCAATCAGCAAGTGATAACAGATTAGTAGAGATGAATGACTGAGTCAGGAGAAGAGAGGGAGGGAGGGAGGGAGGGAGGGAGGGAGGGAGGGAGGGAGGGAGGGAGGGAGGGAGGGAGGGAGGGAGGGAAGGAGGGAAGGAGGGAAGGAGGGACAGAGGGAGGGATGAGCAGATGGACAGAGAGTAGACAGTTGCTGTCATTTCCCCCAGATATACCTGTTCTCTCCAAAATGTGTGGCCGTTTGTTCTGTGACTTTTAGAGCATGAGGCTTAGCTCTGCCCTTACCTTTCCCAGCTCCCCTCTTTTCACTTTCCTGGTGCCTGCTTCTCCACCTCCTCTCAGCCCCATTCCTTTCTCCCTCTTTGGCTCCCACTGATCCGCCCGCCCCCCACCATGTGCCCCCTCTCACGGCTACTGAGCATTTACAAATGAGGAGCCTTTGGACACACCAGCGACACAACACAGTTTTATTTGATGAACCACAGTGGCTAACAAGATCAGAACAGAGCACATTCTGAAGAAGGGTGGAGGTAGGGGAAAGAGGCAGCCTCCGCTGCTATCTGTCCTGTGCCATGGTTGAGTTTCCTGCCTGCCCTGTCCCTGTCCTGGCTGCTCTGAGGGTGGCCCTGGCCAGAGAAAGTGGCTGTGTGAAAGTTTCTGGCCTGAGGCATGCAGATACTCCGCTGAGAGGAGCTGTTTTCTCCCCCACCCCAACCCCCAGCCTCCTGCTCCAGGAGTAGGATCTGTGCCAGAGATGGTCCACCTGCATCAAGCCAGGCTCTTCCTGTTTCTTTGGCACATGTCTTCTCCTTCGTTTCCAGAGCCCTCCAAGAACAAAACCCGGAATACACACACCCATTTCCAGCGCACAAAGGCCCCACTAGGAAGCTTGTCCTTGAGACCTGGGGGTCTGCTGCTCCACTCAATCTTCACCTACCTTACCCTCCCCCATCCCACAGGATAAGCCAAGAGGCTCGGTCCTGTTAGGAAGGAGAACAAAAGCTCACCCTGTATCTTTCATCCTGTGGCAAGAAAGTGTCCTCCTTAGAAAGAGGACCACATACCCTGAAGAAAGTGAGAGTAGCAAGGAATAACTCGAAAGCTGTGCTCTAGTCTCCTCTTCCCACTGTGGAACTGGGGAGGAACTGGGGCCAAGCTCTGGGCTTCTCCAGCCTTAGCACCAGATGTGACTGAGGAAATAGCTCCCTACCGAAGAAAGCCTAGCACAAACACAGACTTCTTTCCTAAATACGGACCAGCCGTCAGAGTTCCCCAAATCCAGTGGGGGTAGACTCATACCTAGTCTACATTTCCTCCCTGTGTCCATTCTTCCCCAAGTGGACTGCAAGACCTGCAGAGACGCAGGGGAAAGTGGGTGAGGGTTCATCTACGTTTATATGATATGTGTGTGTGTGTGTGTGTGTGTGCAAACAGCCTTACTCAACCAAATGATTCTTGGGGCCAAGTAGCACCAACACCTATGGAAAATGTCCAGGAGATGATGGCATGAGGAAGGAGCCAGGAGAAAGATCTCCTCTACTGTTCACAGTTCTGTAGGAGATGGGTGGGTGAGGATGGGGGAGGGAAGCCAAGCAGCAAACAGACTAAATACAGATTCCCCTCCAACTCTCCTTTCTCCGTGTTTTCCCTTCCCAGCTCCCATTCACGGGGATGGGATGGTCCACAGCTTCCTAGGTGCTGTGGTCTTGTGATTCTCGCAGCCAGTTATAAACGAGCAGGAAAGGACACTGGCTTGTTGGTAGGATACATTATCTACTAAGCAACACAGAGATTCTGCCAAAGAGAAATCTCTATTCAAAAGTCAGTCTAGCCCCGGTCTCTGGACCAACAGCCAACTCATCCAACTTTTGGAACAATCCGGAACTCCTGGCTCTGGGGACTGAAGTATTAATTCTTTGCCTACCCACAACCTGCCCTGCCTTGCTGGCTCTCAAAACAAAACAAAACAAAAAACAAATACAAAAACAAAAAACCATAAGAACTCAAAGGGTTATCCTTCATGCTTCAGCGTTTTTAACCCTTAGGTGTCCAGCAGGAGAAGAGGTGTGGGGTTATAGGCAGGACAGACTGAGGGAGAAGGAATCCACTAGAGAGAGCGGGTAATTAAACAGTGAAAGTTTCTGCAGCACAGAAAACAAAAAGGGAAGAGAGGGGGAAAGGGGGGCTACAGGGCTGAGGAAAGAGCAGAAGGAAACACGTTTAGTCAAAATTCATACTTCAACGGTTTAGGGTCCATATAACTTTCCCCCATTTAATACAAACAAAAAAAACTGAGTCTTAGAGAGGACGGGAGACTTGTGCGAGCCTTGGGAATACTGATCAGCTGAGCAAGAGTCTGTTTGCAAGGCTCCATCTCTTCCTTCTAAACCACAAACATCTGAGGAAAAAGTCAGCAAGACAAGAGCTTGGAGCCGGGAAGCAGGGAATGGAGCCAGGGGTCAGTCAGGGAGAAGGTGCAACCATGCTACCTGGTTCTCAGAGCATGAGGGTAACGTTTGGGTCAGACCCAAGGCAGCAGACTTCTCTCTGGCCCCAGCCCTAGTCCACCAGGGTCTCTTGACTATAGGGAATGGATTTCTCGTGCATCTGCTCTCCTCCCTTTCCCATGTTGGGGCCAGGGCCCTGGCTGTGCCCGGAAGAATAACTGGCTGACTTCTCCCCGCTGCTGCTGTGAGGGCTGCCTTTGCACCTGCTCTGGTCACAGCAGAGCATAGATGTGCAGGCTTGGCGGAACCGAGGGTCAAAAAAGGCGTAGAGAAAGGGGTTGAGGCAGCTGTTGACGTAGCTGATGCAGGTGCAGTAGGGAAAGACGTTCATGAGGAAGCTGTCAAAGTCACAGGGCCAGTGCAGCAAATTCCCCAGCATGTAGAGCGTCTTCACCAGGTGGTAAGGCATCCAGCACAGGGCGAAGGTCACCACCAACACCACGATGATGGTGAGCAGCCGGCGTCGCTTCCGCAGGCCCTCAATGCGCTCCTTCCGGAAATGGCCCGCGATGGTTTGGGCAATGAAGAAGTAACACGTCAGCATGATGGTAAAGGGTACCACGAAGCCGACAGCAGTGGAGGACACCCCCAGGCCCACCTCCCAGGCCCACTCTGAGCTTGAGGTAGCCACCATGGAGTAGTCCATGTAGCACTGGACCTTGGTGCTGTTTTCTGTATTAGCAGTGGAACGGAACACCATTACAGGCACAGCCAGAAGGGCAGCCAGCACCCACAGGACGGCTGTGGCCACAGCCCCGCTGACCCTCAGCCTAAGCCGAGCATTGGCCACTGGTCTGACTATAGCCAGGTATCGGTCAAAGCTGAGGCCAGTGAGGCAGAAGACACTGGCGTACATGTTGACGAAGATGAGGTAGCTGCTGAGCTTGCAAGAGAAGGTTCCAAAGGGCCAATCAAACTCCCGGTAGGTATAGGTGGCCCACAGGGGCAAAGTCACCACGAAGGTCAGATCGGCCACTGCCAGGCTGGCAATGAAGATGTCAGCTGAGCGTCTCTTTTCCCGGCTGCTCCGAAACACGGTCCAGAGCACCAGGCCGTTGCCCGTGGTGCCTAGAAGGAAGACCAGAAGGTAGATGGCAGGGATGAGGGCCCCAGAGGACTTCCAGTCTTCGTACTCACATTCCGACTGGTTGTCGGCCGCATAGTAGTAATTATCATCTTCCATAGTGATGAATGCGGCGAAGGTAGGCGTGAGTCCCAGGGGCACCAGCTCCGGAGCTACAGCACCCACTCAGCTAGTGCCCTCAAGGTAAGAGAAGGTCTGAGGGTGCCCTTGCCGGCATGCAGACGGAGCTCCTCTGAAAGCTCAGACCCAGCAGGATGTGCTCCTCAGCAGCCTCTCTCTACCTTCCCTGTCCCACCCCAGCTCAGCTAAGACACTTCCTTGCACCCTCCTGAGTCTCTGCCTCCTCCTAAACTCCGAACTCCCTCCTCCCACCCCCAGGCCAAGCCCTCCCTCTCTAGAGAGTCTTAAGATCTTTAAGTTACAGCCCACTTTTTTTTTTCTTCTTGTCACTGGATAAGTAGACTAAATTGACCCCTACTGTGCTGGGCTGACAATTATCTGAGCTTTGCAAGCCTGTTGCTCCTCCTGGCCCCACCTCCTCTCTTGCTGCCACCAGCCTGCACCCCAGACTCTTTCCTCTCCTTTTCTCTGGCCCCCACCTCATGCCTGCTTCCAGGGTCTCTATCCCCAGCTCAGTCTTCACCCTCCCATTCTCACCCTCTCCCAACCCTCCTAACTGGGACAAATTATGCAGATTGAAACCCGGTTTGACCTGAATCCGGGGCAAGCATGGGGCAGAGAGGGTGTGATATTTCACAAGGCTGTCCCAGCATCTGGACAGTCCCTGCAGACCCTGCTGACTCCCACCCCACCCCCACCCCACTAGGACTCAGCACGCCTTTGCTCCAGCCCTCTTTTTCAGAACTTTGGTATTTTGCACGCAAAATCATAGTGAAATTTCTCCACAGTTCATAAATGGCTGGTGGACCACAGTTTGCAGTTTGCAAATGGGAGGTGAGAGAAAGTTGGTGACAGGGTCACAAGTGGAAAGAAACAGGGACAAAGTGACGGCTAGTCAAGCCCTTAAAATCTATGGGGAAGCCCAGGCTTAAGGTGAGTGTCTTACCACAAGTCACGGGATAAACTGTGTTGTGGTTGGTTGTTTACTTCTTCTTCTTCTTCTCTAAACACATAGGGAACACAGTTCTGGCAAGTCATCAGGAATCTCTGATTGTTGGCTGACTAAGCAAATGGACTCATTAGGAAAGGAGTAAGAAGAAGAGAAGAGTAAATGTCAGGATTACTATGTGTTAAGATCGCGAACTCAGCTCAGGGCTCAGGTTCTCACCAATATCCATGGGCCAGGAGGTTTCGTAAGACCACAGAGGGTCAGGAAGTTGAGTTAGAGGAGGACGCAGAAAAAGAAAACAGCCCCTGAGCAGATGTTGTACTGCTCACTCCCCCCCCAATCTGGCTTTTTCTCCAGGATCTTCAGGAAGAGGAAGGATGCACAAGATAAGATGTTTTTCAAAAAGCATCCTTTTCACCTCAACCCCCAAGAGTGAGAGAAGCTACCTGAATGTGGCCAGGAAGATTACAGGCTTAGCTTAATAAGGAGAGTGTGGGGCCCTGGGTTCCCTTCCTCCCCATACTGGGGGTGGGGGTGAAGACAGGAAAGGAGAAGGGGGAGGGAGAGACAAGACATAGGAGAGAGGGAGGGGAAAGTTGAGCTAGAATGAAATGGGCCCAAACTTGGTAAGTCTTAGCCATCCATGGCGAAGGACTTACAAAGCTGACAGTTGCTTTCTGGAAGGAGGGTTTGTCAGTAAACGTCCCACAAGGATCTTCAAGTTGAGACCCCAAATTCAGACACCCACGTGAACAAGCTAAGCATATATTTGGACAAAGTCTGTGATAACAGGAGTTAGACTGTGACAAACTGGAGTTTATCCATCAGAGGAAACTGGCCAGGCAATGTGCATGCCTGCTGCAGTTTCAGCCACTTTAGAGGCTGAGGCAGGTGGATCACCTGTATCCAAAGTTCAGGGACAACCTGGGCAACAACACAATGGGACTTTGTCTCAAATAAAATAATAAGACAAGAAATCTCCTCAGTTCTGGTCTCTGGTCCCTGCAGGAACATGAACAGTGTCAACCAAACCTCAAGATTTTTCAAGACCAAATCTTATTCTAAATGTTTATCAGAAATTTCCAGATTTATTATCAAAGGGAATTAATTCCATTTTTTAAAAAAAAGGTAGACTAGGTGCTGGGCATGGTGTTACATGCCTCTAATCCCAGCACTTGAGAAGCAGAAACTAAAGATGTATTAGTTCAAGTCCATTAATACCCATATCAAACATAAAAAGAGCTATAAAGCAGATCCTAGCATCTCCAGTTGGTAGGTTTGGAGGAACTTCCTGAGATTGGAAGGTAAAAGAAACACAGAAGATCCACAGACAGGAAGCCAGAACAAACAATGCAAAGAAAGAAACAAATAAAAACAACCATGGCCAAAGTCTTAGAATTCAATGGGGAAACAGGAAAGATGAATGGAGAGAAAGATAAGAAAAGTTCTAGGGGCCTCCCCTGACCTTTAGTTACGAGCAGCTGTAATTACAGCCCTGTCTGGCTCTCGTGGGCACTATACATTGTTCACATTCTGAGTGCCAGGCATTCTTCTAGGTTTTATTGTCTCTTTCAGTCATCAAAACAGTGACTGAGGAGTAGGCTGGGGAGACTGCCTGGAGGGCTGAGTTCGTAACCCCAGCAATCCCCAGCATACCCATAAAAACAGGAAAGACAGCAGGCATCTGTGATTCAGTGCTAGGTGGAACAGAGACAGAGAGATTCTGGGACCTCGCTAGCCAACCAGTCTAGCTAAAGCAGTTGGGTCTAAGTTCAATAACAGACCGTAATCAAAAAACAAAGTGGAGAAACTATTGGGAAAACCAACCCAACATCAAACTCTGGCCTTTGTATGCACAGATGAACACACAGGCACACACACATATGCACATGCGCATACACCACCCGCACACGTGCAAACACACGCTCACACAAACCTTAGGAAATATATGCTCTTAACTTGTTCACTCAACCACTACAGCAAGGCCTTCAACACTTTTAGAACTGGAATTGTTGCATGGTAAGCATCATGGAGACACGGAGGATGCTAGGGTGACTGTAATTTACGTATTGGCCATGGCCAGAGAGAACACCTGGTTGGCTGTGCTAACTGAAGAGATAACAGGACTCTGCCTCTCGAGCCTTGACTCCCACAGAATAGGAGTCATCTCACTCAGTTTTACCTGGCTCTGGGGATTCATCAACCTCACAGTATGCAAGCCTACTCGCTTCCTCTAAACAGGTGGCAGAACGGCTGTGCAGTGGCATAGAAATAGTTAACCTTCAGCCACTTCAGATCCATTCGCCTGTAGGGAAGGACTTAAGGGTGGTGCAGGGTCTTCTCCGGTCAGATCAGGATAGAAAGTAAAGACTCCTGATGTAGCCATTCTAGGATAAAGACCGAATCTGACAGCACTATCAGTCACACACATATTTTCTTTTTGGTTCCAGAAAGATCCAGAAGCAGTCCTGGGCAACTGAGGACACAGAGGGAGGGAAGCAGAGAGGCATGTGATACCCTTGAAATCAACTCCTTGTCTATCTCTCCCAGCTGTCCCCACTTGGATCCCAAGCCAGATGCAAACCCAGAGTTCTCCATGGAGAGAAATGGATGCATTTCTTTAATTCTCTGACTTAGCTGAAAACGAAGGGAATTGGGAGCCAGAAAGGATGGGGCAGAGACTAATGATCTGTGCCTGGAGTGGCGGGGTGCTGATAAAACACAGCCTACAGCCTACAGTCAGCTGGATCCAGGTGGCCTAAGTGATCCCAACACTGATGGTCAGGCTCACTCCTCAGCCAGCTTGGAGCTGATCCATGCCTGTCTCCCCCTACACTAGGCATTATAGAAGATGCAAGACTAGTACTCAGAACTGAGGGTGAAGCCTAGTCTTGTGTGCTCCAGGACTCAGAGGCTCCCCATAAATTGCACATACCCCAGGCCTGGAATGGTTAGCTGTCTGTCATCCGACTTCTCTGCTTAGCCGCTAATTCGTGTCTGCTGCATGAAAGCACTAGGGATGTGTTAGAGGGTTGATAAGAAGTGGAGTCTTTACCCCAGGGTCATTCTACCAGAACAGCAAGGGCAGCTTTTTGCCAAGCTGCTCAAAAATAATCTACTGGCAGCCAGAAACTAAGACAGGGTTGTTGGCCAGAGGCCCCAGAACTCACTATCCCGAGCAGGTATCCTAGAAGATTCCTCTCTCCTGGGTGATTTTTGCCAGGCACTGTGACAAGCCAGAGAGAAATACCTCCTGGCACAAAAGCACCTTGGACCTGTTCCACGCTCTTTGAGAAGAACAAACTCTGCTGGGAGAGTGAGAATTCTAAAGTCAGGGGGTTCAGAAGTCCTCCCCAACCTTGCCCACAGGCTGGCCCCTGACATAGGAGAGAGACAGCCTTGCACTGTGATAAACAATGTCACATGAATGGTAAGGCGGTGATGAGGCCACGCAGACGTGAAGTCTGGGGTGCGAGAAAACAGAATGCAGATATGAACGGCACTCAGTGTATACATTCACATGTCCACAGGCTTCCTTGCATGTGCAGTAGGCACATACATCACCATATGTAGGGGAATGTGATTTCGTGTATATGGTGGGGTAGGAATGTGCACCGGGCACACGCTTCTGGGTACAGAAGTTGCTTGTGTGTATGCAGCGGGTTTGTGTGTGCACTGGACTCACACACAAGCTTGTCATCGGATCAGGAATCTAGATAAACATCCTGGCTACAAGACAGGAAAGGGTGCTTAATTGGCTCTCTCTAGCACTTTGAGCTGAGGAGGAAACATGAAGCCATCTGCTGGGACCCCACCCAGACCTAGCTTGGGTTCTGTGCTGGGACATCAAAGTGGAAGCCTAGCCCTTCTCTGCCCCTTGCTGACTTCTCACCCCCTCCCTCCCAGCTCTCTGCTCCAGCCTCTGACTTCACAGGTCTGCTTTGAACTCCACAGCTTGGGAACTCACCCAGGGCAACAGGGCCCTTTCTCTCTCTCTCTCTCCTCCCCAAGAGGCAGCCACAGCTGTGTCCCTAACAGCTGGCTTGTTGTCAGAAGGGAGCAGGGGGTCAGGCCTAGCTTAAACTTGACTACCCACCTCAGTTCAGTATTGCACCGTTTTTGCCTTCAGCAGCAGAACTGCAGTCCCACCCTGACCCGCCTTATCTGGCCAAAGCCAAATGGTCAACTGCAGCAATTAAAGCCAATCTCCCCACCTCCCCACCCCACCCCCACCGACAACAGCCCCTGCCTCCACTCACTCCAC